TTGTTAGCTGTATTTTTTAAACCCAGTTCCTCAATTACATCTGCTTAACTCTGATTTTCCTTACCTCTTGCACTCTGCTACACTGAGCTGACACTCCCTTTCTCTCTACCTTTTCCTTTGCCAGGGCACAAAGAGAATCAGAAGACCGCCTGTACTAGGAGCAGAAAAAGAAAAAAAAAAAAGAAAAACACCTTAGGAGTATGCTATTTCCCTTTTTTTTTTTTTTTTTTTTTTTTTTTTTTTTTTTAAATTCAAGGAGACATCTAATGAATATACTCCATGGCCATTATGAATGCCTGTGTTTCATCACTTGTAAAATAATAAGCACCACTAGCACTTTTCAGTTTCCATGGTATCCACATATATTCACACATATAAAGCATATTTTCTGTAAGAAGAGTTCCTATGAGAAGCTATAGATTATGGCACTGTCCCCACTTGGCATGGGCAAGCCCACCATGTTGCATGAAAGGCAGAAGGCAGTGTTACCTCACAGCTCCCTTCTGCCCGTGTACTACTACCTTGTGGTTCAAAAAGGTGAGGAAAAAAAGCCCAGGAGGAACTTCATGAAAAATAAATAACTTCATGAAACAAAATAAAAGTGAGGCACTGGGGTGACCACGTGGGAATAGGCACTATCCTTGGTTCTATCAGCGCAAGACTAAATAAGAGCTAGAAATTACATAGGTCACAAACACGTGACAATGTGAAATACTATGAAGTTTTAATCTATGCTAGTGTGGTGAGACCATTCATAGCTGCTCAAGACTCACGAGCAGAGAATGTGGTCATTCCATTCTTGGGATCATAAAAATTTACTGCACGCCTTCACGTGTTCTCCCTATATAGCTCCGTTTTATTTCACTGGCAAAACACAGCCAGCTGGAGCTACAGCTCTGATTAACTGAATGCTCAAGATGCAGAATACATCATATTCACAGCAACATTCTGACTGTAAAAAAAGCTTGACTTTTTAATCAGTTCCAGAGATGCAGATAAACGTAACGTGTCAGAAATAGGGACCACCTACACATCAGATCACACTTAAGAGGATAATGTATGCAGGCATACAAAATTGCCAAGGAACATAAAGCCACCCAGAAAGGGGTACTTCCCCAGGCTACTGACAGGCTACTGCCACATTTCACTGACTTCATAAGGCAGCCTGATGACATTTGCTTTCAGCAGAGCCACCTGAAGGGACAGAGAAAACACACTGCTCTTGGATGGTCAGTACCAAGGACATTATGATTTTCAAATATCTTGCCAAAAAGACAAAGCCAGGAGCAAACAGCACTGCAGATCAGAGCCTACTTACTTCAAAATCATAAACAAAAACCAACAAATAGAAGCTACCTAGTAGAGAAGCTGAAACAGCTCCATTAATTGCCAGTTATTAAGATTGCCAAAGCACTTTCAGACGGAGAAAGCTGAAATGTTTTTTTAATGCTTCTAAAACAAGGAAAAGAGGGGGGAAAACAGAAGGAAGAAACATGGTTCTATGACTCATAGGTACAACCGAGATAGAAAATTAAATGGTGCCACAAATGGGCTCACTGAAGCCCAAGGCAAAACTCTACATCTTGGAAATTTGCAGAGATCTTAGAAAGATTCTGTGTTTTACAATGAAGAACACCAAAAAGAAGAATCTAAAACAAAAACAAAACAAAACAAAACAAAAACAAAAACCTCACAACTTGAGAATGAAACAAGATGGAGTATTCAGATTTAAGTCTTTACTATTTCTCTAGTCCAGAGAGCAGTGAATATTGATAGATACATAATCTGCTATAGTAAATTTCTATTGCAGGCTTACCTCTCTTGTTCCACTTATGAGGAGGAGAAGAAAGGAGAAGTAAGGATCTTCCCATCATCAGCAATTTCTTTATCTTTCTCAGTAATCTGAAACACTGTTCTTGCCTGATTTCCCAGAGCTTACCTGAAGATCACTCAAACGCTAGCCAGCCTTGCTCAGTTCAAATAGAACCCTGTAATAAGAAACAATAGGAATTAGAAAGATACAGCAACACTTGTAACTACCACTATATTTTATCCAGGTTCTCCATGTTGAATTTATACACCACAGTTACTTCAGTGACTGAGACATTAAGCTAAAACTGCATTGTGCATAAGCCCTGCACCTAGAACTGTGCACTCTCACTTCCCACATGAGTGCTCCAGTCTCTTGGGGATCTTTCCTACTCTTGCTCTTAATGTTGATTAGGAACAGCTGCAAGAGGAGGGCTTGGAAGGACTCACCTGAGATACAGAGGCACTTAGGGTCTTTACGAGGAAGTACTGAATGCCCATTCAAAGCTGTTGTGCTTCTTTTAAAGGCAGGTTTTAACCTAGCTCTTCCATCTTGCAGATCCTACAAATGGCTGCCAGGTCACTCTAAACTCTGGTGGATTACCTTAGACACTCCATTTGAAGCTAGTCCTCTTGGAACAAACTGCTTTTAATGTTTGCTAGAGCTGAAGTATGAAAATGACCCATGCAGCAGGGAAGTGGATGTTTGGTTCCTAAACTATGTGAAAGTAAAATGCTGTACACAAAGTGGACATCTCATTGGAAGAAACCAAGGAACTACAATCCAAACCATGAGCAGACACAGCCACCTTACAAGGGATTACAAAGAATGTTGTCCTGTGTTGCTCATGCACACATTTCTTCAGAGAGATGGAAACTGAACTAGTTCTCCAATCCTGATGCGTGTTCCAGGCTACTGTGTAATGTATCCTCCAACATCAGCTTTTGCGAATCTAGCATTTATTTCCTTCGTCTCCAAGTACCCAAATGAATGTCTTTTGAACACATTCAATGTCCTTAGGATTTGCTTTCCCAAGAAACATTTTTTGTTTTAATTTTTTATTTTACTGTTTTTGTGTGTGTCAGAATGCGGGCATGAATGGGCAACAGAGCCAAAACAATCACTTAAATGCATAGCTCTTCTGGTGGCAGATTGTTCCCTGTAGGAGACCACCAGTTGTTCTTCACATCTCATGGGTGTTTCAGAAGTAGTTTTCTTCAGTGGTTACTAAAAAAACAAAACAAAACAAAAAAAAAACAACAACCAGAAAGGAAGGTTGTTTGTCATATTCAGAAAAGAGTGTTCGTGTAATCAGAAAAAAAAAGTATTGCATTAATTAAATTTCTGTGAATGGTACACAGATACTACGGGCAGTTGGAGCCTTATATATTTCTATAACACATAATTACTTAATTCAATTATTCAAAGAAAATTACTTCACACCCCCACAGAATACACTGTGTCTTGCTAAGGAGACATATCTGCCTGGTTTTACACTCAAGTAATGTCACCTCCAGCAGAAGCTCATTTATTAAAATACCAGAATACTGCTATATAATGCCTATTGTAACACCCACCTCCCACACACACAGGGCAGTGTGCTGCTTATAACAAAGAAGGCATTCATAGCTGTTATCTTGAAAGGTAGGGGCGATAAATGTATTAAAGGAACCAAAGAAATGTTCACCTCACCAAAGAAAAGATAAGATAGCTTAGGGGTGTTTTCTTACTGGAAGCTGAGGTGCCTCCATACTTGGTATCCTCAGACCAACTTCCCTCACATTGTCAAAACCTTTATTGTAGCTTTGAACTTCACCTGACTTTACATCTACCAGGAACCCCAAATCCAAACATTTTACTCTGAGTTCCCAGAATTAAATTTGGGTCTCAGCTCTTTGGCTAAGCCACCTGGCAGCTTTACCCAAGACTGCCACCACCAAGATACTGCCAACAGTTCAGGCTGTCTCTCAAGCAGGAGCAGGGCTCCCAAGAGCCGTTTCGTTTGGGTTAGACAAGATACTGGTGACCAGATCACTGCTTCCCTGCAGATCAGAGCCGGCTGCAACTTATGTTGTTATTATCACTATAGCAGCTCTCTGTGTATTAATATGCCTTTTGTGCAAAATTCTGTCTGGCACTTTCAAGAAGGAAAAGATGGTAATGGAAAAAAAAATCTCAAGCTCTTAAACTCAATTCCATATCAGAACAATTATTGAGAGAGAACTACAAGTTCCTGGGACAGAATTAAAGAAAAAACGGATAAAAAAAAAATAGCCTCATTTTTACCAGGTTACCCTATCCTCCATTATTTTTGCTGAATGTTTAAGAAAAGATAACAGATTTCTAGTGCAGCAGACTGACAAATGGCAATTTCAGTGAGGGGTCAGCCCTTCTCATGGGCCACGTGAAGTGCTTTACAACCTGCTTGCCTAGTTGGTAGCTGAAGGTGCTCAGCAGGTCTAACTGCAAAGGCAACAGCTTTGCTTTCTGAGCTCAGATATTGTGTTATTCAGAACAACCCGCAGACTATTGTGTGTTGAAACTCATAAAGCCCACTGGGACTGAACCAGTGCACCAGCTGCTTCCAAACAGGAACAGCCAGATTTAGGGGTTTTCACAGTAGCCACAGGACAGAGATTAGGAGTCATGAGGTCCATGCAGGTCAGACCTTCAGTGAGTTTAACTCCTCAAGAACAGCAGACTCATGCTTTGTCTTCATGCTGCATCCTGACAGTGCACACAGGAAGCAGGAAAACCTAACGTATGCTGTATAAAGCAGCAGAAACATGCACATTGTGTAACAAACGTCTGTTGAAAGGAGATAAAGAGACAGCGCAATTTCTTTCCGTTTTTCACCCGTGTCCTCATTCCCCTCCACCCCCACACCCGGCTGTCTGGGGGAGGTTTCACATTGCATTAATGTTACCGCCCGTGCATCGGCCTTTGCTGTGCTACTGCCGGCGGCTGCCTGGCAGCTGGGACAGGGAGAGCCTGTGACGGGCAGGATGGGAACCCTCTGTGGTGACAGACCCTCTGCCTGAGGCAGATCTGTGGGCATGGAGCAGCCATACGGTGTTACCACTCTGCCCATCACCAGTTGCCACTTCCAGCTGCCTTTGGATGGGTATGTAGAGCAGCTTTGGCAGCTCTCAAAGTCCATTGTTTGGATACTGATGACCTCTGGTGAGACCTCTACCCTCAGCAGTGAAAGTAAGATAGCTTTCTCTGGGTTTTTTTTTTCTGTTTTTTTTTTTTTTTCTTTTTCTTTTTCTTTTTTTTTCCCAGGGAATACCATCATACTGCACAATGCCTCTTGTATCTAACCTCATTAAAGGAACTCATCTAACTCATCTGTACTGAGGAAACTCTCACCTCCCCCAAAGGCAATGACTCAAGATACTAATCAGTGCAGTGAGGATGTCTGAGGGTTTTTTCATCCACCACTTTAGCCTGGGCTATGCTTTTCCTTCCTCCGCTACTGCAGCCACAAAGGTTGTTCTTGATTTGCAAAGGAAGACATCCAGCCACTACTTGAGCTGACTGCCTCAGGTACGTATCAATTTAAACAAAGTGACAAATAATTAAATGTGTCCTGGAGCACACCCAGAAGAGGCTATTTTCTGCTTTACCATACTTTTCCCTTTTTAGTGTTTTTTGCTTTGTGTCTTTATTTTGCCCTTGCAGAGTTTGAGCAGAAGGAGGCACCATGTCTAAAGAAGACTCTTAAAGAAAATATGGCTGCTGTATTTGGCCCAGAAACATCCTCATAGCTGCTGATCATCTCTGTCTCTTAAAGTGATGAGAAAAGATCATCCTCAGAAATCAGAAGTATGCCTTACTAAGGCCAAGCAACAAAACACCAGCTTAAGTCATTCTTCTCACATCTCTGAAAATAAAGTTGGTGAGTTCTGAACTTTCTGGTGTCATGGGCAGTGAAGAAACTGGCAGCAGCCACACACAGGAGATGGGGATTTTCTAGAAAACAGAGGGCACCCCCATTTCCACTTACTTTCCCTGATGGCGCAAGCCCTGCTCCCTCAGGCCCAAGTAGCGAATCCAGTCAGAACAGCCAACAACACCAAGCCACCTCTGAAAGGTTATCATTAAAAGTCATTAATTGCATTAATTCATAACCCTAATTTAACGTCAGCAGACCTTTATCTTTTAGCCTGAGGGTTATGCTAGCTCCTGCAAGCCAAAGCCCAATCATAACAAGTGTCTTGGATTGTAATTACAGGATGATTTCCAGTGATACCAATACCTATTTTGCCTCCGTGCATTTTTGAAGGCTAAAGGTTGCCTCCCTATTACAATGCCCTTGTGTCTATACTAGGAAAAAAAAAAAAACAAAAAACCCACAACCTTTTAGTAAACAGATGCACTAATGAAAAGAAAATATGTTACACATAAATGACGTGGATCAACTACAGCTATGCTTGACACGGGAGAAGGGGAAAAGGGGCTTGCCAGGCCCAGAGCAGAGTGTGATGTTGGCCAGCAAGATGACCGCTTGAGCAACTGGTTGCTTTCTTCCCTTATGAGGGGAAGGGAGCAGTGAAATTTCACGTCTCTTTCCTCTTTTTTTTTACCCTGGGAAGCTGAAACCAGTTCAAATTCCTCCCACAGCTCTCCTCCACCACCACACTGAATTAAACCCTCTTTCTTCAAAAACAGTGCCTGATACTCCCTCAGCTCCTTCCTGTACCCTTCAGCTGATGAAGTAGCTAGCTCAGTGAGACACTTGAACAGGAGCTTAGAGTTAAATACAGTTATGTGCTTGACTGGATCAGGGCTACCCTTGTTTGGGAAAAACATGCTTTTTGAAAGTGACTTTTCAGGGATTTAGGATGCTCTTCTGACTGAGTTCCTTCACAATTCCCTAGTACAGAGCTAGAAACTCCAGATCCTTTAAAATATTGTCATTAGGTTATTTTATTTTTCTTCCAAAACCAAATCATGGTGAAGTTATATTTCAAGAAACAACTAAAGTAGCAGAGACATGTTTACATTCTGATTTACACAGGAATTAATTGTGGGTAATATAATAAAATCAAGACAGCAATGATAAATTAATGCAGGGTTGGGGGAAAAAAAGATATAAATATAACTGCACTGCTGAAACAATTTGATGTATGTTTTCTGGTCAGGATGAAACTTGAGCCAAATTTCAGGAAAGCAATCATTTCCATTGACAATAACATCTATTGCTATGATTATGCAAATATTTGATAAATACCCTACAGAAGGATTACAAGAAAGGCAATATTTTACTTATAAAAAGCCATACTGAACCTAGGACACAATAGAGGATAATGAATGAGCATATCACAGAGTAATTTATCTTAGTTGTATTCTAAGTATTTTCCATGTGTTCTAAGAATTATTATTTTTCAAGAACTCCCTACATGCACTCTGGTATCCATAGTTTACATAAGTTAAGTTTTTTTAAAAATCCAAGCTATAAGAAAAAAAATTGAAAAATGAAAATAACAGTAGAGTCTAGAAAGTGGAAAATTGCAAGAAAATTTTGTTAAGGAGTTTGGTCAGATGCTAGAAACACATCCGACAAGATGCTTTCAGCCCATTTAAATGTTGTGGAATGCATCTCTCTCTTCAACAACGTAACTGTTGACAAGCTGCCAAAAGTCTGAATTGCAAATCCTCCAACCATGAATAAATCAAAGGAAATTCCAAGATATAAGTAAGGCAGCTTAAATGACTTATTTTGCTATAGTAACTGCAAATTCTCTATGAAGATATATTGGATCTGCCACAACAAGTCAAATGTATTTAAGCCACCCTCAGTGGGTATTATGACTCTGCTGGTAAGGACATGTTGTATATAATCCAACTATGTCTGTGGGGCCCTGATCTGGCTCCTTCCAAAGTCAGTGAATTTTTCTGGACTTTGTAAATTTATTGGAGTGTAATGGCCAGTAGGCTGCAGTGTTGATCTGGGAACACCACGTGCTTTTATTTCAGAGACTATTTATTTGTCTGGAGAAAATCTTTTCCAACTACGGAAAGGACCTTGAGGAGTGCACTCAAGGGAGGACATTAATTCTTATTGATCAGGCTCTATCGAGTCAACTTACCTCCCGCCAATCCAGGACCTGTTTTGGCCTGAACTGTTAGCAGTTTGGGCTGCATAGCTTGCTTCTAGTGACTGAGCCAAGTCAAGTGTTTGTTGGGCACTGACTACTTTAGTTACAAAGAGGGTGAAAATCCCTGCTTTTCCTATCAGGGAGGAAATAATCAGAAGATCCCTGTAACCTGTGTGAAGAAAGGGATATGTATGGTCCCAGAGGTGTGGTACTTGACCTTGCTGATCTTTCCCCCATCCCATGGGATGCCAGAGGGCTAGAGTCAGTTGATCCCTTGGTTCTCTTAAACTCACTGAATAACTTAGGGTTCAAAACCACCTCCATATGTGATCTGGTCAAGAACTTTATTACTCTTGGTTCCTTCCTGGACATACTTCCAATTATTTTGTAAGGTAGCAGGCTGCTGACAGCAAGTATTGATTACTTACTTCTGCCTCAAGCAAAGGCTTGCATACATTAAAAACTAATCAAAACAAAACAGAAGTATGATCCATTGATGATTCTATAAGATATGGCTGTGCAAGGACAGCTCGTACACGGCTCCTTTCCTTTAGCAGAAGCATCGCCTGTCCTGTGCCAATGCTCTTTATGCTGTCTGCATCTTATGCAGTTGTTTATGTGAAGGCAAATCACTGAGTAACTGCAACAAATTTAGTGTCACTGTTTGGTTTTTTTAACTAGGACGATGAAGGAGGCTGAAGAATAGTGTGATATTAGGCTACTTCCTCCTTCGAAGGAAACATCTTAATGTCTTTGAATTTTGTAGTTTTCTTATAGGTAATCATTTCTGAAATCTTCTCGCTCACTTTTTGAGAGTATCATAGTTTTCTTTTGTAACATAAGTTAAATGTTGGTATGGATCAAAAGTACTGTACAAGGCAGGTAATAATCTATAACTTGTGAGAGCTTTGGTAGCTGAAATCTAAAATTTATCTCTAAACCTGTACTTTAAAACCAGATTCAGCTGATGGTTTCTTTTTCTTTTTTCCAGCCTTTGCTGGTACACTATTGTAGTATATGATTTATCATGTTTTCTGTCTGCTTCAAGTTCTGCAGGGCCACTTTGCTACGGCAAGCTATCTGCCTACAAACTATCTGCTCAGACTGTTCACATAAAAATACTCTTTTCTGACATTTATGACATAATAGCAAAGAAATCCAAACAGTTCCAAGGTCAGCTACTACCCTAACTTTCCAGGGATTATTGCTCAAACTTTAGCTGTCCTTTTTCCAAGTTTCCTTAATGTCCACAGATTTGAAAAGCTGCACAGTTCTACACCATATTCTGCACCTAAGACTAATTGAAGGCTTCTTTTGGTTCCCTCATTGTCCTGCACTGCTCTGCATGTCATTGCATGAAACGTTTGAGACAGCACTCTAATTCCAAGTGTTACTGCACTTCAATTCAAAAATTCCCATTTTAATGTGCCTTATGTGTCCCTTGCTTGCCCATTTTATTGGCATACAATTCCCTAAAGTGGCTTAATAGTCTTCACTAAAATCTCACACTAAATACAGTGTTTTTTGAAAGTCTGCAAATATATCACAGTCTAGTTTTACATCCTCCTTTCTTTCTTATTTATTCGACAGAAATCTGTACATTCATGACTATGACGGGCTGCTGTCCAACCAGTGGTTCCTGTCACTTTCACTGAGCTACTACATGGATTCATCAATGCATTGCTCACAGCACAGAGCCTCTCTCACTGTTTTCTTATCCCCTCTTCTCTGAAAGGCAAAATCTAGCTCACTACCTAGTAGCTGTTCAGAGTCTATTTATCCTGGAAACCCTTGCTAAAATAAAGGTGTGCTCTTTCATTTATGCACATGAATGTGTTCCCTCACTCTCTCCAAGAGTTACAAGTGTTATATGAGACTTAGCCCCTTGGGACAGAATTTCCTGTGATGACAAGAATCTCACCCCTCAGAGGAGGCCAAAACTACATGTAATTGTTTGAAGTTGAGCATATCTGGTGCGCACATCAGTCTCACCATGTCCAGAGCTGTTGCAACATCTGGTGCACTGCACCTTGTCAGTCACACAAGAGATCGAGTCAGCTGCAATACTGAATCACTACGTGTCTTCAGCCTTCAGGGGATAAGCAAGAGTCCAGATACTTTATCTGTCTCAGAGCAAACTGAACAAATTCCTGAGGAGCAGATCTTCACTCGCGCTATTTCCTGAGGGCTAAGATCCGCAGAAAAACTACTTGTTCCTGAGGTCCAGTGCTTCAGTTTTTCAGAGTTGTAGAGGATAAGCAAAACCTTGGGTATTAAGCCCTCGGGAACACAGTTAATAGATGATACCCTAAATGTGAAAAACAAGAACATGCACGCACATAAGTTTTCTTGTTTGTTTTTTTTTTTTCTTCCAGCTTCAATTGAATTTCAAGGACAAACATCTTCATGGACCAGCTTTTATCCCTTGTCCCTTGGTTCATCTGCCCTCTTGGGCATTCTTGGTAATTCACATGCATTCAAGAGTTCTGGGAGTTCCCTATCTAAAGGATTTCATCCTGCAGTCTGTTCCTCAGCTGAATAAACAGATTAATGTTTAGAATGATTCAAGAGGGTACATTCTCCAACCCCTGTCAGATCAGATCTGATCCACCCTATCTGATGACGACAGTACCCTTGCCAGATGACAGCATTGCCAAACTCAGTTATGCACTCAACAACCAGTTTGAGTTGATGGAAGACAGCTTATTGCACAGAATGGGTGCACTGCAATTGTATCACTGATTATCACTTCAAGGTCAGTGCCAGGTCCTCATAGGAACGTTAGTCCAATTGAGAAGGCAAACATAAGGATCAGCCTTCTGATAAAATGGAGTTTTCTGTATCATACAAATGTACACAATCTATAAGCCATAAGCTTTTCTTAGACAGTTTCCTCAAAATACCACGTCTGCAATAGACACCAGCTGCCTCCAGCATGACAAAATATTACAGTGTTTATTCACTTGTATGTCTCAACTAATATATCTCACTTGCCTCACTGTAGTGCACTGGATATTAATGTGCCACAAATAAAGTGCAGAGAAGGATCCAGCAAAATAAATGTTCTGTACCATGAGGCAACCTATCCTCCCACAATATCAAGAAGCATTTAATAAGGGTGCAGTGAATTCTTTCTCTACACATGCCACTGGTACTTTGGGGTATTGTTCTAAATTAACACATCTTCCCACTCAGAAAAAAAGAAAAAAAAAATCTAGTTCCAACTCATTTTATATGTGCCCCCTTCTTTGTCAACTAAAATAAGAAAGGTTTGGACATTTGTTTCATTTTCAGCAGTTAACTTCTCTATCAGGAACTTTAAATATACCCAAAGATCTCCAAAAACAACTCACCACAAATTAGAGGTTGATATGAGATGTTCGTGTCCCACAGGGGTCAGTGTTGCATCTGACCCTGTTTAACATCTTCATCAATGACATTCACAGTGGGTTCACCATCAGTCCACCATCAGCAAGTTTGCTGCTGATACCAACCCGTGGGGTGCAGTCAACATACCAGAGTGTGGTTAAGGTTGGATGCCATTCAGAAGGACTTAACAGGCTTGAGCATTGGGCCCAGGTGATCATCAGGAGGTTCAACAAATCCAAATGCAAAATTTTGCACATGGGTAGAGGCAGCCTTCGCTATCAGTACAAGCAGAAGGATGACAGAATTGAGCACAGCCCGCCAAAAAAGACCAATGAGTACTGATGGATGGTAAGCTGGACATGAGCCAACAATGTGCCCTTGCAGCCCAGAAAGCCAACCATATCCTGGGCTGCACCTAAAGAAGTGTGGCCAGCAGGTCAAGGGAGGTGATCCTGCCCCTCTACTCTATACTGGTGAGGCCTATCACTATGTTCAGATGTGGAGTCCTAAGTATGGGAGAGACACAGACCTGTTGAAAAGTGTCCAGAGAAGGGCCACAAAAATGATTCATGGAATGGAAAGCCTCTCTTATGAGAACAGGCTGAGAGCTGGGGCTATTCAACCTGGAGAAGAGAAGGCTCTGAGGTGATGTGATAGCAGTCTTTCAGTATCTAAAGGAGAGCTACAGGAAAGAAGGAGACAGACCCTTTAGCAGAGTTGGTGGTGATAGAACAAAGGGAAGTGGCTTCTAACTTAAAGAGGGTACATTTATGCTGAATATAAGGAAAAAGTCTATTAAAGTGAAGATGGTGATGCACTGGAACAAGTTGCCCAGAGTGGTGATGGATGCCCTGCCCCTGGAGACTTTCAAGGCAAGACTGGATCAGGCCCTGAGCAACAGTAGTTTTGTACTGTTTGCAGGGGATCTAGGAGACTAGATGGTCTTCGGAGGTCCCTTCCAACTCTAAGATTCTACGATTCTACATCAAAATGTGTACCTGGCCCTGTTCTCAGCAGCATCCTCCTTCCTACATGTAGCTCTTTCCTAGAGTTCCTCTTTGCAAGTTTGGATGCTCAAAATGGTGTCCCAAATAGATCTGCTATAATTTCATGCTTCCTGTGAGGAAATGGTATCAGAATGGGGATATCATAAAAAGATAGCATAATAAGAAATATAACCTAGTATAAGAGGAGATCTTCCCAGCATTTCTGGTTTTGTTTTTGTTGTTTGTTTCTTTTTAATTATAATAATCTCTCCCAGATCCCTGTCCCATCCTTGAATCTTGGGAAGCTGATTTTCGCCCATTGTTCAGAGCTATCCTCTGGGCATTTGCAGCCTGAAGCTGATCTCCCCAGACCTCTCTGAAAGGCCTCCAGATTTGCATGTTGATGTGAACAAACACTCCAAAGCCTGGCATTTTTCTTGCACCTTATTGTCAGCTGCCAGCAAACTGTAAGTAGGCTGGTGCCAAAGGACAACCATGAAAAATTGTACCACTGAGGCAACAGGAATGTTCTTCATGATTTTTCCTCCACAGACTTTAAGTAACCCAGCTTTCAGCTCCACAGCCTGAGAAAAAATGCTTTCTCATTCAAACAATAAAATCCAATTTGCCCAGTCAGGCTGCCAGAGCTCCATAAGTCTGTGCAATTGTACCCTCCTTTCTCACCTCGCCCATCAGCAAGTTGCTCACTTCTAAGTGTGGGTGCTGAATTTTTCTGTGCCTACTCTGTATAACGTAGAGGATATTTTTGTGGGATTATTTTTGTACCATTTCTCATCTTAATGCCTCAGACTGCTCTGCAATCATTCGAAAATTTAAGCTTTCTGTGACACTGTGAGTTTCCAACATTAGGAGTTATGATAGCACCTATCATCACAGTATTATATTTAGTGGGATGGAAACAAATAGATTTTAAGTGACTTTCTGACAAGGAAGGTCATGAGCATAAAACTCTATACAGTTAGCTGAAGCCACAGATAGCCTGAGGACAGATATATTTGGTCCACAAAAGTACAGATATGGTTTTGGTTGTCGTTAGTAAGTTTTTACCCACCTGAGAACCTCAGAAAGTCAAAGAAAAACTCAGCTCAAGGCAGCTCTTTTCACCAGCTGCTCGTCAAAAACATGCACAGTTAAGAATCAAATCCTCTGCTGAGTTAAATTGAGATAGTTGTGTTGTAGGATTTCCACTAGCAGATAGGAGTCACTCTGGAGGTCTGCTGACTGTTCCCAAGCCATCCACTGGCTCACATCTCCCCACAGGGCCAGGATGCATGCTCAGAGAGGAAATTTGGCCTCCAGCATATGGTGAAGGGTTATCTAACTCAGAGTGTGGAAACAGCCATCAGGTTTCTTGTGCTATTGAAATAGGATTACCCATTCCACTGACACGAGTGTTGTCCTTGGAAAGATTCACTGTCTGAAACAATATCTTGGCCAAAAAGGCAGACAAAATCTCTGACTGAAAGAACTTACAAGTTAAGGCACAGATTGTACAATGATTTTGAATATGTTTCATCAATGAGGCCTCCGGGTGTGTAAATTTAAGGGCATGCCTTCAGCTTTGTAGGACCACCCCCCTCTGAAATTTCTCTCTGTGGGAGTTTTGTACAGAGACACAGTTTTTCCATCCTCCCAGCCTTTTCTTCTTATGGAGCATTCGAACACAAAAACTCCCACATCTCTTCCTGAGGTAGGAAGCATTTGTAGGGCATGCTGCAGAACTCAGTTTTTCCTTTACAATGAGCAAGGCAAGTAGGATTAATGCACAGAAAGTAAACCCTTTCCCCCAGGAATTGGGAGCTCCTTTTCTGGCACTCCCCGTTCTGAGCAAGCACCAAGAATTAGTCACAAGTATGAACTCCTCAACCCCTAGCCCAACTGGGGTGCATTTAATGCCACATAGCATAGCCCTTATTAATGTTAATAAACACCCATTCAGTTAAGTAATCCCATTGATGTCATCAGCATGAGCAAGGATTGCAAAATCTAGCTGCCTTTAAGTAGCACTGTGTGCTATAGGGGTGGTTTTTTCAAACAGGCTTAAACTTTATCCATGTCTAGTCATCCAACCGAGCTCCGGGTTCCCCCACTAAGGCGATAGATTCTGATTCACTCCAGAGGCTGTTCAGTCTCCTGAGGTTTCTTCTACATTCCCAGAGGATTTATATGCATGCAACAACCAAAATAGCAATTCTCTCCTTAGCCTCAGTCTCTGGTACCACCTTCTCTGGTATCACCACAGAATTACTGATAGCCATGTCTCCTCTATCATTAGAATCCTAGATGCCAGCAGAAGCAACGTGCGAAAGAAGGAAATAACATTTCCAACTCACTGCGCTGAATTCCTAAAATGTGAAGGATTGTGTGTACAGAGTAATGCAAGGCCTGGGAGATAATGCTTGCCTGTACTTCAACTTTTCACTCTGATAAGGAGGAAGAAAACATACTGCCGAGTTATAAGCTGAGCCTGTTCCCTTTCTTCAGCTAAGCCAGACTGTTCTTATGAGTAGCTTCCCAGCGTAGCTGAGAAAGAGCTTAAACAACAGAGAGAGACTGGAGTTGGTATGACTATGTGGCTAGACAATTTGGATGGGCTGTGGTCACAGACAAGGACTGCAAATGTATTTCCACTGAGAGGCAGGTGACATGCTAAACTTTATGGATCAGACAGTGTGAGATCTGTAGGATCTGATAACTCCTTAGTTAATACAGTAACCTTTTTCTAAATTAAAAAAACCCTGGCAAGAAGAGGGTAGTGGTTCAATCTATGCTTCAAGTGCTGAGCTTCCCAGCTGGAGGATGAGCAGGGCCCTGGGCAGCTCTTCTTGCTGAAAGAAGCCACTGCATAAATCAGATGCCTCACAATATCTGCAAGAACTTTGCCAACAACCTGGCATGTTTCTGCCTGCAAGGATATGCAGCAGGGCTGAGCTGCATGATGTCCTAGACCATGTCAACGTTCGACGTGCTACGGGTGCAAGGATTGAGGCAGGGAGGAGGCCTGATGCTGGGCAGTGCCTTCCTGGAAGATTTACTCTGCCTTTGTGCCCTGGTATCCACCACTGGACATGAGTGACTTAGAGCCCAACCTA